CGTTTCGGTTTAATAGACCATCTTCAGGACATATTCATAAAACATAATTAAAATAGACCATATTATTGTTATCTGTTTGGATTGGTATTGCTTTTATGTCCATCGCCTTTTTCATGTTGAATTGTATATGGTCTATGTTAATTATGTTTTATGAATATGTCCTGAAGAAGGCCTATTAGACCGAAACGTCCGACGTTGACATTAAACAGCATAATCACATATTAGGATTTTTGTTTGTTTTTTTCAGTATATTTTCTTCATATATATATATATATATATATATATATATATATATATATATATATATCCTTCACCCATAACATGATTCGGTGTTTCATCCACAACGCATTCTTCAGATGCTGACTGACCGTTATGTAATTTAAATTTTAATAACAATACATGGTTAATGTTGGAACAGTCCATATCATACAGGGATTACAGGATTATTATTTAAAAGTATATTTAGGGTTTAAAATAGGCGGGATTGTTATTTTATATAGACAAAAAATCATTTTTAAAATTGTGAATTATTAATTTTATATTAAGTATAAAGGGAGATTACTGCGTTATTTGGCAATTTTTTTTAATAAAATTTTAGTTAAAACCGAAGAAAGAGAAAGGTTATAACTTACACTGAAATTTAATCTGGATCAACGTATTTGAAAAGATATTTACTTTTATGCCTACGTGTGACCATCAATTCATTCCTCTTGTTTAAACACCATGATGTTAACTGGATATATCATCCCACTCTTTCCGCATCTTCTGCACTGTCCTCAGATTGACACCCAAACACTGTGAAAGGTTCGTATTTGAGCTTCCGGTGCGAATGCCATCAGTACATCATGCTGTTCCTAAATTTATGGCGGAGTGAATTGTGCCATGGTGCTCTTTTTCTCACAGACGGTGCCCAACTGACCCTATTATACTGTGCAGTCGACAAAATCAAAAACAAACAATGCGAAATTAAAAATATAAAATGGCAACAATTTACCCATTGCACTATTAAAAACATTTTTTCCAATATTCTAAAATACCCAGCACCCTTTGTTCGTGTAATGGTAGCAACATAGCAAAATTTACTCAGCGTCGCAAGTAAACTTTTGCCCCTTTGTCATACAAATGCATCCACATATATTGCTGTAACCTAGAAAGGGTTACTGAATGAGGAATAAACAAAACGGAGGTTTGAAATGAAATGGTAATCTTTATAAACAAAATACAATACTCGCCAGCGGCGTGAAGTCGGTAAACCACTGCTTGTGGTACACTACTTAGACAGTTTATTACCCCCACTTAAAATTCTGTCTAACGTATTTATGAGGATTAGGACATACCCATTAGTATTCATAGGTACAGTATATAACATATATAATTGTGTAATTTAGCAGCAATCCCTCTATAATACATGTTTCGTTAAAGCTTTTTATTAATTTTTTCTTGTGTTCGTACAAGTGTTTTCTTTTCTGGACACAAAATGTGTAAAAACTGTCCTGCATATCCAAGCGCTTTCGTCTATTCTTTTAGCGATTATCAAGGATGTTATTTTATTTTATTTTTATTTTGTTTTATTTGTTTTTTGTTTTTAAATGAATGTGTGAAGGTTTTTATGCATATGTTTGAAGCTATAGAAATATTTTATTTTTCAAACACGGTCAGCACATTGTGGCCGTGTTCATAGTTAATGTTATTAAGTGTTGGCTTTTTCTTTTTTATTATTAGTTCTCCTATTATTTTTTTTATTTTTTTTAACATGCGGATTTGTGTATTATATTTGTATTTTCTCTTGGTATGTTTCGGAGGGAGTTTGTCAGTTTTCCAAACTGTCAAGGAGGTATACAGCGATTGCAGTTTCAAGAGAGAACCCGTTCTATATACGTACCATTTTTTATGGGTACCTATATTAAAATTTACTCCGGTTTTTGTCTATGAATTTGGCAACCGGGACACTTAGATTCTGTCAATGGGTACAAAAGCTAAAGAAATTTAAGAAGTTCTGCGAACTTTTGTCATTTTAGCTTCGCGCGAACGCCGAGTCCCACATTGATATAATTTTGTCTGTGCATCTGCATTTGTGTGAAGGGAAGGTGTTTAGTATCGTGAATAAGGCGAGAAATTTGATATTAAGGCATGAACGAATGATTACTTTAGTTTGAATGTATTTTTCATTCTTTAAACGTTCAGGCTTTCAGCGGCTTGCTATAAAAATGGTCATTAAATGTCTATCATGCTGGGGATCTGTTGTAGCCAAAATCCGGAAATGTTGTTCCGGGTGAGACTGGTCAACTGAAAAGCTTCGTGGGGTTAAAAGTAATAGATAAAATCCATTTTTAAAGAATAGAAGCCCTACAGGAGGAATAGAGACGTCAACGCTTGCATATAAAAATGAATGTTCGATTGCTTGTATAAATCTCAGTCTTTGGAATTTGTTTTGAAAAGCGTTCAAATAAGAGAAAGAGACGTGGTCGCGTAGAGATAATGTTTCTGGGGTGGTTTTCATACGAGATGAACCGGCCTCAAGCACACTAACCGCAGCTATCTTTCATGACAATAAAGCTCTCCGAAGTGCGGGCTGATATTTTATGAGTTAAGCCGTGAATGTCTCAGTTGCTTCGTTCCGGTTATTGGTGGCTTATCTAGGCAAACCAAATGTTTCCAAACTTGGAAACGGGCACTGCACATTTTAAGAAAGTAATAAATGCCAGTTCCTCCCTTTTAATAAATGGTGCGTCCTGGAAATGAAATAAACTAGATGAATGGAAGACAATTGGGATGTGACTTTTATTTGACCTCATATATAACAGGGAAGGTTGTAATTATTTCTGTATACGAATATGATGCGATGTATTGAAGAATACACACACATGCATACATATACAGGTTGTATCAAAAATAATTTGACAAAATTTGTGGGCGGTTTCCTCACACCAAAACAAGGACAAAAGTCCATATAAAGTCTACAGAAGATGTATATGTAAGACAAGAGCGGTGTCATGCCTTCTCCAACTAAAATCCTTTGGATTCTTATCTTTGGAGCCACCTAAAACAACTGATTTATGCAGCAGACATTAATAATGCAGAGACGCTTCATCAATTGCAAAACCATTCAACACCGAAAGTTGCCCGCCAGTCAATGATCCGACGGGGATATGCGTGTGTAGAAACAAGCGGAAGACATTTTGAACCTTTCTTATGAGTTGCTGTGTGCAACGATGGCCTCTTGGAAGTATGTTTATGTTGGCATTTGATCTTGTTTTGGAACTCATCCCCAAAGTGTTTTTGGATTGTGTCATGGATTGTACATTTAACAACGTCTGCTATAAACTTTAAACTTAATAATTGAAAAACAAAGGATTTGAGGACATATGTCTATATGGATTTTTGTCCTTGTTTTAATTTGGGGAACCCACCCTCAAAGTTTGTAAACTATATATATGCCGTGTGTAACAGTATACGAGGGGGTTATCCAAAGGTAACTGGAATCGTTTTCTGTGTGACAAGCCCGTAGTAGTTCAGGCTTTCACCGCTATATGCCACTTGAGGCAACCCTCAGGCATCAGTGTGCTAACTGGTGTCGTCGTGGGAAGACATACAGCTCCGTGGTTCACATTTGTTTTGAAGTGCTTCACACCTTTTTGTCTATTTTTTGCCATGGATGAAACGATGCTTGTCGTAAACTGAAAGAACAGTTGGAAGTTGATCCTGACCTTTTTTTCGAAGGTCCATCACTGGTGACGAAAGCTGGTGCTATGGTTACGACCTGGAAACGAAGCAGCAATCAAGTCGGTGGAAGCATCCAACGTCATCACGACCCAAAAAAAGTGCGTCAAGTGAAGTCCAATGTTAAGACGATGCTGATTTGTTTCTTTGATGTGAAAGGAATTCTCCACAAAGAATTTGTTCCTCCTGGTCAAACTGTTAACCTGGCTTTTTACTTGGAAGTCCTGAAGTGTTTGCGTGACAAGGTGAGATGAAGAACGCCCTGACCTGTGGCAAAGTGGAGGGTGGTGGTTGTATCACGACAATGTGCCAGCTCACACCGCCTTGAGGGTGAGACAGTTTCTGACCAAGAATGGCATGACCCCCACTTCCTCACTCTCTCTCTTCACCTGATATCGCCCCCCTCCTGCGACTTTTATTTTGTCCCCCCGAATGAAGAAAGTCCTCAAAGGAAAACATTTTGCAGATGCGGAAGAAGTTAAGAAGAAAACGACGTAGTCATTAAAAAACATAACTTCACAAGAATTCCAGGACTGCTTTGAACAATGGAAAACATGTCTGGACCGGTGCATTGCTTCAAATGGAGAATTCTTTGAAGATGATAAGAATACAAACATAAAATAATAAATGAATAAAATTATATGACACAATTCCGGTTACTTTTGGGTCCCCCTAGTTTATACCGGGTGTGGCAGTATATATACCGGGTGTGGCAGTTAAATTGTCCAAATCATTTAACAGCATAAATATAACGTTTAATTACTAAACTCATTGAATTTCTTTTTCCAGGTTTTAAGATAAGACGTTTTAAAAAAAATCGTTTTAAATCAACTCCACTGTCTTCTGAAATGAGCAATGGTGAGAGGAAAAATCCAGTAATGGTACGAATATTCATACTCTGGTTTCCATCTTCAAAGTCCATTCTAGAACAATTAAGAGAATGCTGATGAATAAGTTTAAAAAAAGATGGAACAATAAAGAAGAAAACTGGATCTGGAGGTCACATATGATGTTTGACACGTAAGAAAGGAGTTTCAGCTATGACACTCCAAATAGCAGTGAAAAAATACTTGAAAATGAAATCGTACGGGAAAACTGTGAGAGACCTTGTTACTCCAAGACAGAAAGTTAGAAGGTTAGAGAGGGTGAAGATCATCTAGAATATGTTGAATAATAATCCTGGAATAATATATATATATATATATATATATATATATATATATATATATATTGCTGGGTTGATGTGACTTTGTGACTCTGGGTTTCACGCTCTTGCGATCATCAAACACACACACATATATTCATTATCAATCTATTTATCTATGTCAGTCTGTTCGTTATCTATCTATCTATCTATCTATCTATCATCTAGAATATGTTGAAAAATAATCCTGGAATAATATATATATATATATAAATATATATATATAACATATATTTGAAATTTCATTTTCTTTTATAATAGATTTCATTACGATTCTTCGGTTATGTTTCAAGAGTAATTATACATTCTTCTTGCTCAAAATAGAGTCCAATTGTTTTATAAAAATCTCGGAAAATTCCAGTAAGAAAAAAAAAAAATATATATATATATATATATATATATATATATAGAGAGAGAGAGAGAGGAGGGGGAGGGAGGGAAAGAAAGAGAATGAAGTGTCATTCCCCTGCGCTGGATGAACACACAAAGGTGAAGACATTAGAACTCCTCCTACTAGACAGACACGCATACACAATTACGAATACACATTACTATCTGATGCCCGCTTAGGCAGACAAGAATCTTTACAAACTTACACACATATAGAATTATCTACGGGTTATGTTAGAAATGTTTGCATCTTAGTCATAGTCAACATATTTTATTACATTTGTTACCCACTTACTTAATTTTATGAAAACTCAAAAATTTGACTTTTGTGATTTTTTTTTAATTAAATGCAGATTTGAAGAATGTAAAACATCGATATATTTTTTTTAATCGAGAAGCGTTTTTACCCAAAATTTAGCGCTGAATTGTAAAATACAAAACTTAATAATACTAAGACATTATTTAATAAGAAAAGCTTTTAATGGCTTTTATGAATAATATATGTTAAGGACATTACTGTCTGAAGCCAAAATATTTTTCCGATGAAAAATGAGTTTTTACAAGAATTCTTCTCTTTTTTTTCAATTTTAAATACAAAATGTGATAAATATATAAAGTTCTTAAATATTTTAAATTTAAATTTCAGGATGCGTCTTTTTGTAAATGCTCTTATTAAAAAGATGTTTGCAGATCTTAAATTTGAAAGCTTATTACAATCTGCGAAGCGTTAGTATCTTTAAAATATTTTTTTAATATGTCAAAAAATATATTAAAAACGTTTCCGGAAAAAAAGTATGGAGGCACAATTCAGAAACAATGTCACGTGTTTTAAGAGTTGTTTCTCGTGATAGCGAGGATCCAGTCTCATAAATTGAGTTGCTTTCGTTCTGGCTAACATATGTCAAATTCTTTGACGGGTCAGTTTGATAATCATCATCGTCGTATTTTCAAAATTTCTAATTTTCTTTTTTTACATATTTCACTAAATATTTTCTTTTCATTTTTTTAAATATAATTAATTTTTTTCTTTTTTAGTGAGAGACATACTGCAATTATTTTTTTCTTTTTTAGATTCAATTTTAGGGATGGAAGCAGTGCAGGCTTTGGACATATCCTCGTTAAAAATTAAAGTACCTAAAAAATCAATAAAATATTAGACCTTTGAAATATTTAATTTTTAATAATTACTTTATAGTTAAATAAGCTGGTTCACTTAAAATTCGAAAATACTGTCACTTCTGTCCTTCCGTCTGATAAATTGCCCTGACGTTAGTTGTCGATACATTGACGTAAACGTCAATTCACACCTCCAAAACCAATCACCACAGTTACACATGTTTCACTTATTTCTAGTTTTCCTAACATAACTTTTCTAAAAAATATAATTGAATTTTACAATATCTTTAAACGGAGAATTTCACATTTGTTTACAAAGTTGCCAAAAATGGGTGACATGATCGATTTTGTGCCAATTTTGCTGAATAAAAAAAAATATTTTTACGTAAAATCTCGGTCGTGCTTAAAAAAACTGAAAAAAAAAAACTAATCAAGAATACTTTGGTCTTTCGTCTTAATAATAACATAAACATTTAGACGACAAAAAATTATTTATTAAGTTTGGAACCTTTTTTTCATCAAGGTATGCTCTTTTTTAGCGAAGTAGTGAAGATACTTACTGTTACGTAATATCTATCCTAGCAGTGAGTGCCGGACAATCTCTTCGACGATGAAGAAGAGACGTGAAGCAACAGAAATGTGGTTCTACAGAAGGATGTTGAGGATACCATCGATCGAACATGTGAGCAACGACGAAGATTTAGAGAAAATTCAAACAAAAAGGAAACTTATACTTAATATAAGGAAGAGACAGTTGACGGTTTTTGGGTACGTAATGAAAAAAGACGGCTTGGAAAATCAGATACCCACAAGACAGATTGAAGGCAAGAGGTGTTGGAATTTTTGGGTACCCTCGTGTACTAGTGAGCCAGCCAAAATGAGCTGATTCATTTTATAGTTTACTAATAGAAGGGTTAACCAATCAGAAGGCTCAAAATATTCAATGCGAGGTGTATAAAGGCGGCCATGTTTTTCCCGAATATTCATTGCCAGCCTTTGATATCGAAGAATTACGGAACAGCTGCTGGTGGTATTGGCGATATAGTCAGATTCAGTGTGAGTGTTAATCT